AGTATTTTGCTATTCTTGCAGATGAAACTAAAGATGTATCAAAAACTTTCTATCATGTTTCAGTATTTTGTTGCGTGCCGTCGCTCAATCGTATATGATGGTTAAGTTTTTAAAGGATAGACTTCAATAAAACACTCAATTGAAATTTTAACTGTTTATTTAGCATATAAAAATAACATTAATATAAGAAATAATGTGGCGTGAAGGTGCTTGCGTCTTTACCTGTAAACCACATCTGAATATTGGTCTATTCCCAACCCCCTTATATACTTAGGTCCCGTGGAGATCAACCGTGCAACGCTGTGCGAAAGTTGTTTTCCAAATGTCAGATTACCTTAGTGGCCTTGTCAATATTACTATTTGCGCATTATCCATTAGTGACTCGGACCTAGCAATATCAACCACATGTCATCTGTCGTCTGGCTTGCCATTATCTATATTCCGTGCACTTAACGAATCCGCTTTTTACACATGTCTTACTGATGCTTAATTATAATAATGTTTTTAATATTTATTACATATTACCTGTCTTCGTAATATGTGTTTGCGTTACCCTCTGTTTTAAACTAATAGTTCCTTTCTATTACTGCGAATATTATATTATTCATAATCATTCTGCGATCTCTAATATTTATAATTTATGTGGACCCGCCCGTACTGTAAGAGTCGTAAGGACCTACATTCATGTATGTCCGCAACACCTCCGCGCGAAAAGAAAGATTTCTGTCCTCAGATAGAAATCTTTTACAATCAGCCCTAATTATTTCAACATTTGTTTTACAATATTTTTTTTTTAAAAATGACATACAAATAAATGATTAATACAAATAATTTTACATGATATTTTGATTAACAATATTAATATATATCTTTTTATTTTTATCGAATATAAAATGAAAATTAAAGTTATAGTACAATATAAAATGATACATTATAACATAGTTTACATTATTACTATGAATATAATATATGTATGTTAGTTGTACAAATATCTTATATTTTAGTGTTAGATATTACAATGATTAATTTCACATTTTTTTTTTTTTTTTTTTTTATATATATATATCCCATACCTTCAATACAATTATTTAAATATTATTATTCTTAATAGAATTTATTGTTTATTATTATTTTATAATACTCCATCCTCTATTAACTCTTCTAATATGTTACCTAATTCGTTGCAAATTAAATTTGATGTTTGAGAATCAATTACCTCTTGTGCGAATCCTACTATTGGAATTGATTTACGCAAAACCTCTGTTACATCATATGGTTCTGTCATAAGATTATTTGCGTTATTCATGTGTTCCACAAAACACATTAATTCTACTTCATTACTTCTTTCACTACTTCTTCTTTCATTGTGATTTTCACCTTTTAAAAATATACTCAAATGTCGCAAAAATTCTTTCGCTCTAACTGTTCTTGCCTCTATACCTTCTCTGTACTATCTACTCCTACACTCTCTCTTACTATATTTTCACTCATTTTCGTAAAATTTATTTAACTAATTATTTTATCTAACTTATTTATTTTTTTTTTTTTTAAACTAATGACTCTTCACTCGCACTCGTTATTACCTGTAATAAAAATTAATACTATTATTATAATCTACATAATCTAAATAATTTTTTAGGTGTTACTCTATTTATTATATAGTTGAAAATGCACTTCGTCAAGATTACATCTGTCACTGGATCATGACAATATGTAATCTCATGTTCTTCTTTACATATTAACCCATGCATTTCCTTTAGGCTTAAAATTCTGCCGTTTTTATTAACGTATCCTATCTCCTCTGAATATATAATTTTATTATTATTTACATTTGTTAGTAATAAACTAAATATATTATTATTTTCAACACTATAGTTAGTTATATCCAGTATCTTCTCTATCCCTGTTATTCTCAGTTTTCTTAAGATCTTTATATCCGTTAGCCCACTCCATGTTATTATGACAGGTTTTGTATTGTCCGAATGAAGATATCGCGAGATCGTAACCGAACCAAGACTTGTTGCCCCCCTGGTGATTGACACTCATGTCAATCTGCCCCAATAAAGGTCTCAACACGTCTGGTTTTTTCCGGAATATTCCCCCTAGATATCTTTTCAGTCGACCTACATCCTGTCTGTTGAACATTCTCAACTTGTCATTTCCTGTCAGTATTATTGGTCTTCCTTGCAATTTAACAGGTTTGTACTTGTATAAACTTTATTACCCATTTGAACTGGAATTGTTATTTTCCCTACGGTTTCTACTAATTGATCATTTATGCCTTTTAATATTAATGTTTGAGTTTGGTCTACTATTAATTCTCCTTTTAAACAATTTATTTTTATTAAACTTATTTCACTCCCAGTATCTACTAATAATTTTAAAGTATTAGTCTTACTAGCAGTAGAATAACATTCTATGTGTTTATTTTTTATATCTGAGACGATGTGGAAGCAATGTTGATAGGTGGTTCCGCGGCTATTATCTGGTTTATCGAATGAGCTCCGCGAACTACATTCGATCCCGATCCGTTTCCCGAATTATTTTGATTATTTTCATTATTACGTTTATTTCTATTTTGTTTTGTGTAACATTCATTTAGATCATTTAGGACCATATATTAAGAGTACTCAGGGTATTGCATATATAATTGGGATAATAGATAATCTAACCAAATGTGTAAAGTTATATGCGGTCAAGAATACTAGTACACAAGCTTACTCAAAGTCATGAAAATGTTTGTATTAATGTATGGTATACCACGGAGAGTGATCACGGATCGAGGGACAGCTTACACATCCAGACAGTTTGAGATGTATTGTACGGAACAAGGGATTAAACACTCTCTCATTTCAGTAAGACATCCACAATCCAACGGGCAAGTGGAGCGGGTAAATGGAACATTGGTTCCATTATTACAAGTGACTGCAGAGACAGAAGCAACATGGGACAAGAAAATTGCTGAAATGGAATGTCAATTAATTAATGCAGTGAACAAAACAATTGGAGACACACCGTTTCATGTGTTATATGGATAAAAACTTTGAATAAAAAGTTACAAGGACGCCGGAAAACAATTGAAGTCATGTTTGGATTAATAAAAGGTTTTGAAATTAAAATAGATATGTTTATTAACGATGTCAAATCTGGAAAATTTCTATACTTCCCAAAAGTGAAAAAAATGTTAGGTGAAGTGGACATTTTTGAACAAACCAATTGGGATTTTACCAATGAATTTTCAAATATTGTTGGTTTGATTAAAATACAGTTTTCACAAAGGTTTCATGATTTTAAAAAAATTGAAAAATTAATAAAAATTATTAGTTATCCCGATTTATTCGATGTGCAAGATTTTAATGATTACTATTTTAATTGGATGGGATTAGAAAATTTAGAAATGCAGTTAATCGATTTGCAAACTAATCCAATTTGGAAAAATAAATTTGTGAATATTCGAGAGCGTATCGAAGAATTGGAACGTCATCGAATACATAACGAAGAAACAGATTGCGGTGTTGACAACATAATATTAGAAGCATGGAATAATATTCCAGAAAATATTTCTTCTGTCAAAAAATTAGCAATTTCATTGTTAACAATTTTTTCTTCAACATATGCTTGCGAAAGTCTCTTTTCGGTATTAAATCATACACATTCAAAGGCTAGGAACAGATTAACGGAGGAAGATTCGGCAGCATGTATTGCCTTGCAATCAACCAGATGCAATCATATCAACCAGATATAAACAACCTTTCAACCAAAATGAAGCAAAAGATTTCTAACAAACAATAATAATTTAATATTTTTTTCACATTATTTCCACTTTTACATAATTTTCTACATTAAAATCAATAATTTTTCATTTATATTTTGTATTTGTATTTTGCTGTGTTAACACGTTCACTGCCGGTGTCAACACGTAGTTGACACACGTTACATTCGCCGGTGGCCGCTGGCAATACGTTGTTGACACCAAGACTATCCATTTTTAATATATTGTCACGGGGTCGGCTTTTATCGGATGTTATTTATTTATTTATTAATAAAAAATAAGAGACACAAATACGGGATTAAGTTGTATATAATGACTGAGTCGTGGGGATTGGTTCATAGAGTTCTAATTTATTCAAGAGAAGGTACTGGTACATCAGAAAAATTAAGTCATACCGAATACGTTGTAGAGAAACTAATGGAAGGTTATTATTACAAAGGCCATTCAATCTATATGGACAACTATTATAACAGTGTCAAGTTGGCACATTATTTATTAGAAAAACGAACATACTGTACGGGTACTTTACGAGCCAATAGAAAAAATAATCCTAAAGCTATAAATGATAAAAAATTGAAGAAAGGTGAAACAATTTGTCAATATACAGAAAAGGGAGTTGGTGTGGTAAAATGGAAAGACAGACGAGATGTGATCGCAATATCTTCAGAACGTTCACACGATTTGGTAAATATAACTAATAGAAGAGGAATAATTAAATCGAAACCTTTTTCCATAATAAAGTATAATGAATATATGTCGGGCATTGACAGACAGGATCAAATGCTTTACTATTATACTTGCGAAAGGAAAACGTTGCGGTGGTATACGAAACTAGGAATACACTTTATACAAATCCTACTATACTCCATTCAGAATAACCTTGCCCACTCGACGAAAACTCGTCCGGTTTGCGCATGTCTGTTGCCACGGTGAGCGCTGATGTTTGGTGTGCTGCCGCCGCCGACACGCCGCAGGTGTATACGTAGTGAACAATAATATCACACATGTTCACGATTCTACGGTGCCACTGCCACAAGTGTTTCACGCGTTCAATTCGTTGCACGTCAAAAAA